CAAAAAGTTTAATTAAGCAGTCTAAAATATTTATAGTGTGGCTTGATTTCATATACAGTACTGGAGCTTAGTAAACCGCTTTTACAGTGTATTAAAACATAGCTGAATGGCCTCATCTTTTATAGCAGTTGTCAAGAAAATATAGGCCAGCACAGTAAAATGTATTGGCCTAATACATTGTCTGCATTTTATTAGGAGGAAGCTATGATGTACGGCTCTGTCAGCGCAGATCTATTGTTGGAGGGTTTGCACTATTTTCTCTGCTCTGCCATTAATTTATAGCAGTAAACAATATGTAGCCCTCCAACTGTAGCAAAGCAGAATCTTTTAATGAGGTGGATGTTATTACCACAATAAATCAGTGCATTCATGTTATGTATAATTCAAAGTGTGTATTCCCACTGTAAGTTCTCTGAGTAAGCTGATAGTGTATCACTGTCAGAGCCGTGCTCTACTTTTCTTTAAATATTCTTTATTTTTTTTATCATTTTGTTTGCAGATTGGGTGGAATTTTTTGTTGCAATTTTTTATTTTTTGCTTTCTTGAACTGCAATTTAGGGATGAATAATGTCCCAGCCTGCATGAGAAAGTAACGTGTAACAATTACATCAGGAATCAATAGTGCAGGTTCTGTGGCAGCATCGATCTGTGCATGATGCTGTTTTCACAAGAGGCAACAAAATCAGTCCTAATTGGTTTTAGTGGTATCTCCAAGAAACGTAATTCAATAATAATGATTAGAGGTGGGTGCTCAGTTGAAGAACTTGGAAGCATATAGTCATTTGTTAAAATGCTGCAGGGAGAATTACATTTTAGTGTTTATTTTATTTTCCATTAACTCTGCATTGTACGGATTGTTTTAAGTAATATACATCCTTGTATCCTTGTATCATTGGAACATGTATCCTTTAAACAAGATGCAACATTTAAAATACACTCCAGTCATAAATGAAACATTAAAATGCATAATGGAGTTTTTTTATGGCTTTCTTTTTGTTTAGTTTTTTAAAATCCAGGCTCATTTTGTAGTGCACCATTATGGCCTGTTGTTTAAAGTGAACCTAGACTCAGGCAATCTTATTGTTCTACCAATGCAAGTTAAGTTGTGAATGATGTAGCACTTCTGCAGCTGTTCTTTTGCCTAGGCCCACTTTGTTACCCATTCTGCACCACTGTAATTCTGTGATGCAACCACCATATTAGTGGAGGCACAAGCTAAGCAATTACCAGAACTTCTTCCATTTCCTAGACTCTGCCCTGTGAAGACACTTTCCATGTGGCCCAAAGATTAGAGGCAGGATTGGGCAGGGTATGTTTGATTATATAAAACTGCTGATTTCAGTCATTGAACACCCACCTTTGGATTTTAAATAGGGATGCACCGATACCACTTTTTTGGGTCTGAATACGAGTACCGATACTTTTTTTTTTTTTTAGTACTCGCGGATACCAATTACCGATACTTTTTCTTAAAGGGGCAGATATAACTTTTTTTTATGCCATCCTGTGCCCAGCCCACACCTGTAGTGTGGCACAGTTATATCTAATTCTGCATACCTGGCTGTATATTATACATTAAAAAATGTAATATACAGCCAGGTATGCAGAAATAAATATAACTGTTCCACACTATATGTATGCATTATGCACTACAGTGTTCGGGCCTTGACATGTGCTCAGCCTCATCCATTTTCCACCATATGGGGATACAAGGCTTAGTTAGATAGAATAGCAAGCAGTAGTGATTTTTTTTTTTTTTATAAACCTAATTGGCAATTAGGTTTATAAAAAAAAAAAAAAAATCACTACTGCTTGCTATTCTATTTGGATGAGGCAAATCATGGATGAGGCAGAGCACATGTTCAGACCAGAACACTGTAGTGCATAATGCATTGCATATAGTGTGGAACAGTTATATTTATTTCTGCATACCTGGCTGTATATTACATTTTTTAATGTATAATATACAGCCAGGTATGCAGAATTAGATATAACTGTGCCACACTACAGGTGTGTGCTGGGCACAGGATGGCATAAAAAAAGTTATATTTGCCTGCTGTAATGCAATTACTAATTGCATTACAGCAGGCAAATATAACTTTTTTTTATGCCATCCTGTTTTTTATGCTCAACATGTGCTCTGCCTCATCCATGATTTGCCTCATCCAAATAGAATAGCAAGCAGTAGTGCATTTTTTTTAAATTTATAAACCTACAGCAGGCAAATATAACTTTTGAGGCCATCCTGTGCCCACCCCCCATCCTGTACCCAGCCCCAGCAGTGCTGCTAACCTTCTTCTCCGTCGTCTCCGTCTGCTTCATCCCCTCGTGTCACAGCCTAGTCATCTGTCAATGCCGGCCTCTTCTCACGCTGATTGGCCGATTGGATGATTGACAGGCTTCCCCACCAATCACGAGTGAGGACAGAGGAATTGAAGGCGGGGTCTGGTTTCGGCCGTTCGCACAGTGGAGAAGGAGTTCCCGGCCATCTTGCATGAATGCAGACGCGGTCCTGTGTGCGGCGGTGGAAGATGGCGGACACAGGTACTCATTTTGGACATCAGAGCATTTGCACGAGTACCCATGCAAATACTCGGTATCGCGGCCGATACCGATGCTTGTATCGGTGCATCCCTAATTTTAAATATAGTCCTGTTGTGAGTTTTTCCTGCTGTCAGCACTTTTGTTTTCGGCAGCCCCAGTTTATGAGTTGTGACATTGCAGGCAAGGTAATCTATATCATACCCACTCTATGAACCTTTTACTATCTCTCTGAGTGAGGAGGATATTGCTGAACACAGAATCATGTGAACTTAGGAAGCAGATCCATCCTAATGCACATTTACTTATAGAAACTATATTTTTTGCTTAAAACTCAGATTAGGACAGATTGGCAGAACTTTATTACTTTAACAGGGCTTCATTGGCTTTTATGGTGTTAGAAGTTTACTGATTTCCCTTGGTGGCTGTGGTTGCTCTTTAAAGGACCCGTTTTCATTAGATAATTGATGCCCAATCAGCCAACGTCTTGGCTAACTGTGGGTCCGATGTGATTGCATTCTTCCACTGTAGACTATGTAGACTAAGAGGGGATCTCTTAATGGGCATATTGTTTATGTGAAACTTAGAGGGCTAATTGTTTAATGAGTAAAGGCATTTTGTAAACTACATAGCAGATACTTACTGGGTTTTGTTCTTTAAATTCGGACAAATTGTATTCTTCTTTGTCAATAAGATAAGTAAGCTAAAGCTGATGGCATTCAATGGTGCTCAGACCTAAGCCCTCATTCACACTAAGCGCTATTTCTGCCCAAAAAAAAAAAGCAAAGAAAAAACGCCCCCCCAAAAAACCATTTATTTTTATGGCCGTGTTCACATCTGATCGTCTTATCGCTTGTAGCAAAACCTCCATCACTTGAAGAAACTACATGTGCCTCTTTTTGGCAGGTTCTGCGCTTCTTGGCTCCATAGACTTCAATGAAATTGCACATTTGCTGCGTCTTTGCGCATGTTCTGACATTTTTATGCGCGTGTTATGCAAGTTTGTCCATTTACATCATTGTGTCATGATCTGCTTACAAAAACGCGTGTAAAAATTGCAAAAAAAACACCCAAAAATGTGCTGCACAAGACGTGCTAAAAAAGATGCAGACAATTGAAATAATAAATTGGCTTCTCTTCTCCCATGCACTTGGGCATGTGTAAAGGTGCCCATACACCAGCCGATTATCGTATGATAATCGCCGGTGATCCCACGATCGTACGATAATCGGCAGGTGTATGGAAGGCATGTAACCGTTTCTACTGTACAGTCGCTCGTCTTTTGTCTCCCGAGCAGGCTTGAAAACCCACGGAGAGTTGTACCATTGTCGGCGATTTAGTGGCGTTCTCGGGAGACAAATGCCGCACGGGCCGGTGTGCGCATTGGAATCATCGGAAGTCCTCCACTCAGCGGGGCGGGCTTGCGATGATCGCAAGTACGATCTGCCTGTCCAAGATGGGCAGATCGTACAAGCTTTTAATGACTTTGCAACCATCACACGATGAAAGTCGTGCGATGGTTGTAAGGTGTATGGCCAGCTTAACAGTAGTGTCCTCTCTATCTACTGTGGTTTTGTCCACAACCGATTGCAAAGATTTTGGCCAACAGTATATAGATGCTTTGTGATCAGACTTACCTGGTTTAGTCAAACAGAATGTTGCTGATACATTTTTTATTTGTCCTCAGTGAATTAAAGTGGATACAGCTGTTTTACCAGCTGCAATGAGCCACTGTGGAGATCTTCAATTATTTTCCTGTATTCCCCATGTTCCATGTAAACCCTGCAGGTAGCCTTACAGAAGACTTCTGATTCTTATCAGTTTTACAGGGATTGCTCTGTCCTCTTTCACACCAAAGAATATTGTCTATCACTGTACCCCGACAGAAGGATTCCGTCTACAGTAGATGGCTTTATTTAAAGGCCACATTAAAACAAATAGTTGTACAGGAAAGGTGTTTTCTTATATTGTTTAGGCAGCATAGTGCTGCATTTAACTGTTTTTGTTGGTACACGTAAGGGATACATTTTGATCTTTCTCTACTGGTGTGTGTATTTGCATATATGTGTGTATATATATATCTATATCTATATAGATATACAGATATATATATATCTATATAGATATACACATATGAAGCAACATGACTTTTGTATTAAGCCCTTCACACTTTTGCAATCACACATGCCTTTCAACATATCTAGACCCTTGTATGCACTTGTTTTATCACCTATAAGAGTTTATACTTTTTCACTACCTGAGAATAGGTGTATGTGTGTAGGTGTATATAATATCTTATTGTAATACTGGTATTTATGACCACATTTTCGTGTTCAACTTTCTTATGGTTCTCTCTTAAAAGCAATTTGTCTGTGCTTTCATTCCTTTGTCACTGTTAACATTGCTGCTGCAAAAAAAATGTAATAATCCAATAACTCAGTTCTGTGTTTATTTTCTAGCCTGTTGGAGCACTGAATCCCAAGCGAGCAGCCTTCTTTGCTGAGCGCTATGATTCATGGGAGGATGAACAAGTTCCGAAGTTTCAATATGGCACCCATTACTCTACTGCTAGCTTTGTTCTGAGCTGGCTTTTAAGAATGGTAAGTTATTCTTTAGCAGAAATGAACTAGATAGCCCTTGTTACCAGTAATGGATACGGGCACAAAATATTTTGGTGCAAAGACCTTCAATGCTGACAACAAATGTGAAGCTCTGTCTGGCATGTCTGTTCAGCTACCACGACGTATGGCTAACACTTCCCTGCCCTTAACCCTAATACTTAATCTACTCCAACATTAACCATTACCCTTAAAGTGGAACTGAAGTGAAAAAGTGAAGATTTGCAATTTTATAGGAAACATTCTGAAATGTTATTTGTGCCTTAAGTAGTACCCTGAAAAAAGTACAGGTTATCTGCAAAAACAAAATATAAATATAGAATAATATAATTAAAATATTCCTGATGAGAATGCCTGTGCACTCCTGTGTCTACAGTCTCATAGCTGTATATCTGTAGTGTGAGATCTAAGGCTCTGCCACCTCTAGTGTTGGGAGATTTGTGAAATTTGGTGATGCCACTGCTGTGATGATCACTGTTCTCACTATTGGAGGAAGCAAAACCCTTCCCCTACCAAGATGGCCATGTTCATACAGAGACACAGTGCAGAACAAACCATCATACATCAGCAATGGGGAAAGATTATCTGAAAGCAGAGCACAGACAATATTGGTGACTAGTTATTTGCCCTCTGCCTGCTTTTTCATGGGCACAGCTTATAGAGGTCTTTAACCTATTCCTGAAAATTAACAGTTAACCTAATACTTAACTCTTGAACTAAGGTTTAAAATGTACCCCCCCATCTTTAGACAACCAGTGAACCCCAAGAGATAAATTATTGCCTGAACTATCGTTACATACCTTATCAGGCCGGGACTTACCTTGCATGAAAATTATCCAAGCATAGCACTACAGTGCATTCGTGATGGTTCCGAAATTGTGGCATAACTTCTGTCTAAATGTGGTAATCACTTGACAAGGGTTAAATAACAAATATATCACCTCACAGCAGGTGAAGGTAGGATCAACCAGGGCTTGTATTATTCATTTCTAAACGACAAGATGCCTCTGGTATATGTCTATTTGATGTCCTGGCAGAATTATTGCGATGACAAGTTCTGTTTTCTCAAGAGCCTTGAAATTCTTGTATACTTGATGTTGGTCTGTATATAAATTAACCTGAAGTGTACTTTATCATTTTATCCTACTATTTTACTTCATGAATGTAAAAATCATACATAATTAGAGATAACAAAAAAAACTCATTGGTCAGGCTGTTTTTATTTAATATGGTTGGAGCCTACTACTTAATTTGTATATAGCATTTCACCTGAAGAAGTTGTTTTATCTGAAGGTCTTTGTTTTAAAATGCACTTTGCTTAAAGCCTTCATTTGCATTCTTGTCTATAGCCAAAGTAATTTATCTGTTTCTAATAATGGTAAGCAGCCATATTAAGCATCCTCTGTAATGCGTTGGTGTTGGATTAATCAGGAATTGTGTTTATTGATAGCATGTTGGTTTACAATAGTGCATGTTTCTGTAAACCTAAGAGGTAATTCATCTAGTAGAAAGTAATTTCTTTGGGAGAGCATTAGCAGCCTACCATTAATTAAAGCTTGTTACAATGGTACAAGGAGACATAAATCCTTGATATAATTTATGGTTCCTTGCTAATTTTAGGCAATTATCTGCTAATATGGGCTTAAGTGTGGTTTAACTAAGAGGAGGCTTTTAAAACCTTTAAGCATTTCTTCCAATCATAAATTTCAAATGAAGAAAATACAAAGGTGGTTTAAAGTATTTAATTTAAATAACGATCTGTATGGAGCTCCATTTCTTATTGATAAAGTTTTGCACAAATGCACTAACATGCATGTAAGAAATATTTTGTATTTGGTATTTCATTATTTTTAAGCATGTTTGTGTCAATTTACTAGGATTTAGAAATTCTTCTATATTTTGTTAAAAGGTTTCTATTTCTAAAATGTGAGGGCTGATGAGGTATAGCTAATTATAAACCAGGCACTTTTTATTTCCTAGTTCCGTGTCTTGGAGTTTAGCCTCCCAGCCAAAGCTAGCAATGTGAGTCAACCAAGACTGTAACATCACTTGGGGGCATTCCAGCTTGCACTGCTAGTGAGATGAAGCACTTTAATATAAAATTCACAAAAAAGACAACATTGATCAAGATATAATTTTTTTTTTATAGAGGTTGATTTTTTTTAATCATTAAGTTCTTGTTTTTCCTTTCTAGGAACCTTTTACAACATTCTTCCTGAATTTCCAGGGTGGGAAATTTGACCATGCAGACAGAACATTTTCTTCAGTTTCAAGGGCATGGCGTAACTGTCAGAGAGACACCTCGGATATTAAGGTAAATTCTTGGTGGATGTCTGATCTAGCCTTTTTGACGCATCATTTTGTGGATTTGTACCTTTTTATCTCGACACAAACTTATATAATGACTACTCAGATTTCAGATTGTCAATGTTATAGCCAATGTTTGCTCTACTAACGCAAGTGATTTTCCTTTCGCTCACTGTTCAGAGAGGTTCATTCTTCTATTAACTCTCAAGAAACCAGAAACTACAGTTATCCAGCACCTACTGATCCCCGTAGGTGCCCGATAGCTGGGAGCTTCCTGTATTCTCTTTCAAATATTGCTCTCTTTTCCAGGTGGAAAATAGTTTGTCATTTTTTATAGGCTTTTTAACATTTCAAATAACGTTTTTCCATCCCTGATAAAATACCAAACCTCAAATATAGTCATCATTCTGAACCTACCCCTTAAGATCACCCTAACCCCATAACTCTAAAGGTGCCCATACAGGGAATTCAAACTAATTGCATTAATGCATGCTGCAGTATTACTAATATGAATAAAATGTTTTATAGCAATAGAAAAACAGCAAAGACATGTTAAAATATGGTTAACAATGGCTTGATCCTTGTCAGATGAGCACTGCATTTAGATGGTCGAGCCCACTTACTGCATCATCAATAATATGTCCATGCACCCTTTTATACAGACCATGAAACATTCATACACAAAATATGTTTGGTTAAAACTGTTCTTTTTTACCACCACTTTTCGTTTATACTGGACTTTCAGAATAATAAAAAAATTTAGAGGTTAGATGAAGTTCAGTAAATCACTTCTAAATGATATACCTCAGGTCAAAAAAGACAGACAGCTGAGGAGTAAAGAGGGACAGAGGTATGTGGTTCCAAAAGAGCTACTGTCCCTACAAATTAGGGACAGCTGGTAGCTTTCTTACTTTACCTGTTTACCTTTTAAATAAGATTTGTAAGATTATACCCTGTAATATATTAATTTACCTGTACCATGTATTGGTCTTTTAATACATATACTTATGTATGCGTTTTTAACATTGTATAAATAAACCTCAGGTGACCTATCTTTGGAATCGTAAGACTTCCCCAAGACTTTAGCATTGATTGCTTGGCTTTATACGAACCTAGCTCACTTCCACATAAAGACACAAAGACTGTGGCCATCACATTTAAAAAAAAAAGACTGCTGTTGCAACTTTGAATTAGTTTTCACCTTGTAATTGGTATTGCATATCATAACATTGTCATACTAGTAGGGCGTCAACCCTAATGCACATTATACATTATAGGTCAAAAGGTATAATGCCATATTGAGAATAGATGTCATTGATGGCCTGCATCTTATTAAGCCACTTATATGGTTAAGTGGCAGTGATCAGCAATGGATCATGAAGAGCAGTTTTCTCTTGTTTAATTGGAAATAAGGAGTGTATTTAATTCTGATAGTTTAATTCCTGCTAATCCCCACTGTCCTAACTTTCACTATGCTAGAGTGACCATGCCCTGGATCTTATGACCACCATTATTGATAGTGTTTGCCTTGAGGCACCTGTCACATTTCTATGAACAATATTCTGGTGTGCGTTGTAGAGGACAAGTGTCAGGGTTTCTTGCCCTTCCTTGTCCAGTTGCCTGCAGCATGGCTTGTGCAGTGTTTCTGACACCATTTGTTCCTTTTGGCGCCCTCTTATGAACAAACCTGTTAACATCATTCGGCAATTACTAGCAAAACTTCTGTCAAATTCCTGTCTCAGGGTGCTGATGCAAACACCACTTCACTATTTAACCATCAGCTTGCCCATTCATTCTCTGCCCTTGCATGAGTTCTGATCTACCAATTGCTCTGCAGTTGTTCCTGTTCTCCTTGTATGACCCTAGCTCTGGCTTACTGATCTCCTGGTTCCAGACTCTGGTTATCGTTTCTGTTCATCCTGCTCTCAGTATTCCATGACTTGGTTTGGCTGACTACTGGCTTGGTACTGATGACATCCAGGACTTTCTCCATTGTGTTTTGCCATTTATGTTTGTTGTAGTTTTCAATAAACTCCTTTTATTTTTTAAACCTGCACTTTAAGTTTCTGTCTGGTTTCTTGGTTCCCTAACAAAAAGTGAGTCATTTCACATAATACATGTACCTCTGTACCTCCTTTTGATTTATTAAACTACTTACATAGCAGTCTTACATGTATGTACTACTGCTTTAAGTGGCCCTACACATACCAATTTGTGACAATTCATTATTGATCAACATATTGAACGGTGCAACACACGTGGTATTGTTCCACACTTTCCAAACAACCAAAACACAGGGCTGGATACATCTCAGAATCTATCTAGGTAGTCAATGCTCCCTAAAAATTGCAGTTGGCATCTTAACATTTGAGGGTTTTTTTTTCTAGTTGTGTCAATAGAGCTGATCATAAAATAAAAACCAGCTGGCTCCTGAATTCCATATTAATTTGTCCAACCCTGACAAATTATAAATATAAGTGGTCTGATAAAAACTATTATTTAATCCTATGTGAATTACAATTGATTGTGTCACGTATGCACAGATATTGGTCCATTCAAAAGCAATCAGCAAAATTCAACTTGACAGAGTTGAAATTGGTTAAGAGCTTACTAGGTTGATTAAATAGAGGGCCTTCTGTTTGCAATTTTTATACAATTCAATCAGTTTATTCACATTGAATGATGATATTAATATGACCATTGGTACAACATTGTGTTTATACTTTGTACTTTTTTAACTCTTTTTTTAACTTTATGTAGAATACTGTGTAAAAGTTGGCACTTTATACATAATGGAAAAAAATAATAACAAACTGGTTGCTTTGTTCCTCCAGGAGCTCATTCCAGAATTCTACTACCTCCCAGAGATGTTTGTCAACATGAATGACTACAATCTTGGCGTGATGGACGATGGCACAGTTGTTTCTGATGTTGAACTTCCACCATGGGCCAAATCTCCTGAAGAGTTTGTTCGTATTAGTAGACTGGTAAGAAGACTGATCACTTGCTGGCATCTAAGATTTGTGCCTTTATTACTTTAGTACATTTCTTTATGAGGTAACACGCATACACCCTATATCCTATAACAGCCATAACATATAAATGCATTTATCTTTACCGTACTGGCGGAAAAACAGGATTGTAGCCTGTTTGTACTCACTTGTGATTAGCCAGCATTCTATAACATGCAAAAGCTCTTGGTGTTTTATAAATCCTTACTGAGTGCTTTACCTCAAAACTATAAATGTACATTTTTGTGGACACTAAAAAGGGCAGTTTGTGTTTCAGGTCATGCTTGCATGCAAAGCCCTACTGTGATGGTCAGGCATTGTGAAATCCCTCTGCCAACCTCTTGCTTACTGTACCATCTTAGTAGAATTCATGATTGTTATGTTGTATGACACAATTGGCAATTACCCTGTCAGTGTCCTCTACCCTACATAGTATTAAAAGACACAGGACACTGGTTTGGTGATTAGTGTAGTGACTTTGCATTGCTAGGTCCTTGGCAATCTGCCACATAAAACCCACAATTCTAAAAAAGGCTGTTAGAATAAAGCAAAGCTGTTATAATAGAAGTACTCTGAAAATACTAGTTGCCCAGTAGTCATTGTGTTGCAGCGGTTTCATTCTTTTTAAGTGTCTGACTGAGAGACAGCTCTCTCTCTCAGGTCCGCTCATCTGCTCGGTGGGCGGGGGGGGGGGTTTCAGTAGCCACTCTGCTATTGGCCATTTCAAATTAAAATAGCCAATAGCAGTCTGGCTATTGCTCCTGGTTGCTTACATTCACTTGTCGCCTGCGGAAGCTATCTGGCAGGAGAATGGGGCTGCCCGGGGGGGATTTGGGTTGCTGCTGGGGAGGGGGGTGCAAGTAGCTTGTATTGCCTAGGACGCAAAATAGTCTAGCACTGGCCCGGCGCACAGCAAGTATGAAGTCTGGAGTTTTAACTTTAGTTTGAATTTATCTGGTGGCACATTCTTGGTCTGAGTGAGTGACTCAGATTATTTTTTCATAACAAGGGCAGCTATGACAACCTACATATGTCTCTAGAGTAACAGTAGACTCTAAATCAAAGAATAAAGAACAATACTTTCTTGCAATTTAATAGGGGATATTCTCCAGTGGTTTGTTGATGTTGGTAAAGTGAAGAAGAAGCCTAACATTTCAGTGGAGCTGTATTACTCTACACTACAAAATTTAATTCTTTATCCTGTACAGTTTGTCTTGTACACGTTAGGCTGAATTAGTCACTGGACAATCTCCCCTTGTACTTGCAAACAAGCCCTGCTAGTAAATCACCAAAGCATCTCACCGTGCAGATTCTGTGGCTGCATTAATGCTCTGAAGGACTCGCAGGTGCAGGCTTTTTTTTTTTTTAACAGGTATAGTTTTTATTGTTTTTTGTAAAAGACACATGACAAACCATAAACAACACATCAAAATAAATGCACATGCCATCACACAATACAAAAGCAGTACAAAACTATAATGCATACACAACATTAAGACTAAATCAAACAATCCTACATACATTATAAAACATAAGACTAAAGCACATTTAGCCGTGGATCTACCTCATCGTGTGCAGGCCCCTCCAATGGACTCACTATGAGGCCGGATCACAGAATGAGCACTACACAGTGGGAGGGGAAGCAGGAGGAGAGAGGGTCAGAATGGGGAGGGGGGGATGAGGGGGAGGAGAGAGACAGGGAGGAGAGGAGGGGGGAGGGGAGAGAGAAGGCTCCACCTCAGATCTCAGCATATCTACTCAAACCTATAGACAGGACAAGAAGGAATGCTCTCCTCTCCTATTCAGCCATCAGGTGCAGGCTCCAAAAATTGCCACACTCCGCAGTTCTCAAGCAGAAAATTCCGATTTTTATTGTAGTCCAACATAGTGCAAATATCACAAACGAACAAGTTCCCCAGTCAAATGAAATCCCCTCACGCGTTTCACCATTGTTGCTTACTCACCTCTGTGTAAGCCACATGGTGAAACGCATGAGCGAGTTTTAATTGTTTGGGGAACTTATTTGTTTGATATATGCACTGTTTTGGACTACAATAAACATTGGAATTTTCTGCTAGAGACCCCTGGAGTGCTGCAATTTTTGGAACAAGCCCTGCTAGCCTTTTATAATTCAGTACAGGTTTCCTTTCCTAAGCTTTCAACCAAATTGCCTTTGGTATATTGGATTGTGAGCTTGCACAGTGGGTCATTGAAGGTTATCTGGATAAGAGATGCAATGCAGTTGATTTACTAAATTAGCATGGACTGTTCACTGAGCAAAATATATTCGTAAATAAGGTGAAACTGTGTTCACTTTGAATACCCAACTAAGTGCTAAGGACATTTAAAAAAATTGATTTTTGCTAAACCATTTACTTGTGTTCACTTTGTTTAGTAAACTTACGCTTTGCAACTTAAACATTGCAAACTATACATAAACAGTGCACTCCTTTATTCAATCAAACCCATTGGAAAGACAATTTTCTGTGTCCACCTCTGCTTTTTATAAAAGCCCCAAAACCTCCCTTAAACTCTATTTAATGTATTTATTATGTGCTGCTACCTAGATCGGTACCAGAAAAAGTTCTCCTGAGGAAAGCATGCATTGAGATGTTTATGCTATAAAATGTGTTCACCCTTTCAATGCAACAATATGTCCGCTTGTGTCACCCCTGCAGTCATGATCAATGTCCTAGCTGTAGGTGTGAAAACCTGTGATTGACATGTCTTGCTTTAGCTACATTTACACATGTCAGCAAAATACTCAGTTCAGATTGTAATTAAAAGATCTGCCAGTGGTGAGGCATGCTGTTTGTGTACAAACAGCATAACTGAAAAAGAGCTCTCTCTAATGCTGCTGGCATGAAGAATTGATTTGACAAGAAAGCCTGCTGCCAAGCTCTTTCATACATTCTGGACTTTTAAAACCAAAAATGCCTATTTAGGCCATGTGTCTGTGCGGTTATCCAGACCAAGCTTCACTTTCCAGTTTTCCTCTGCCATCCCACAGATTATATGCAATGATTGCAGCTCCTGAAAAGCACACCACTTTGATCTGTGACCTTTTTGTGGTGCTAATCGGGTTCCCAATATCATTATACTCCTCTCATTAATCATATTTCCTGAAGCCCGTCAGGCAGCCAGACAGACACAGCCCCTGTTTTCAGGCCTGCGCTGGCAGGTTTGTGTGTTTTTGCCGATTATTATAGTGCTATACTTTGGCTTCTAACAAACCAGCCCCACATCAAGCTGTGTGCTACAATTAAAGTCAGATGGTCCTCAGGTTGAACAGGCAGATAATGTTGCAGCTGTCTGTCTTCCTGAAGCTAAACAGCACCAAGGACAGATGATATATAGGACAGTTCCATATGACAGATTGTACTGTATGGGGTCAGAAACTGGGGCTCAAAACATTAATTAAATGACATGCTTCTTTTAAAACGATTTGCCAAGGATTTATTCTTGGTGCTCAGTCGAATTACAGAGTAACCTCAAATAAAAGCTATAGCAAAAGATAATTCTCCAGGCTAT